ATCAGAGCCAGCCATACCCATCGCAATACCAACAGGTGCGAGTTTCAATGCCGGGGAATCATTGACGCCATCACCAGTCATGGACATATGCTTGCCCCTCCTCTTCCCTGCTTGGATCATCCGTACTACGAAGATAGTCAGCACTTTGATGATAATACCAAGGCAACCAAACACGGTACCTTTGGTCTCTGGCGCACATCGCGCAATCACCAACGGAAGTTCGGGAAGAGCATCAATCTCTTCATCCGTGAGCCTATCAAACTCGGTTGCCTAAAGACCAATTGTTAGTATAGTACCAGAGCCAAAAACGTAAAGAATCGAAACTAACTGTCATGACAGCATTCTTAGGTGCGTCTGGTGTTATAATCTCGACGGATTCCGCAATGGCCTTGGCAGTCGTGATATGATCGCCTGTCAACCTAAGTATGGAAGATATCAGGTGTGCATTGGATACAAGACTTGGCGCAACTCACATATGAACTACAATTCCCGCAGCCCTGCATGCCCTGACCGCTCCCGCGGATTCCGGTCTTGGCGGGTCAAAGATACCAGCAAGCGCCATGAATGTCAGATCCTTCTCCGCGTCTTCACGGGAAATGTTCTGGGCATCGGAGCAGTCTATCTTTCGTTGAGCAAGAGCGATAACACGAAGACCTTCGGACGCGAGTTCCTCTGCCTTGACAAGGAATGTCCGTTTAACGTCTTCAGTCAATGGAGAAGTATCTCTCGGTTTAGTGATCGGAGATGGAATATAAGCCACACAGGAATCAAGGATTCTCTCCACCTACAACAAGAAAGTGAGAAAAATAGCGGATGTAAACGAATCCACGCACCGCTCCCTTGCACATCACAACAGTGGCTTTTTGTCCGGTGTCATAGTAGATCGTGGACATTCGTTTGATTGAGCTCGAAAAAGGGAACTCGACCAAAAGCTTGAACCGCTTGTTCGACTTTATCTCGTCATCAGCAAACCGAACTTTTTCAGCATGATCGACATCACTTCGCTCAACGATACTTTTGCCGCTGGAAACTGAATTCCCCGCAGTCAACGAAGCCTGTCCCAGGCCCAATTTGGTGGCGAAGACTTGGAGAGCGACTTCCGTGGGGTCACCGGTGGACTTCCACTCGCCTTTCAAGTTCATATGGATTCTATATTCGGAAAATTAGTCATGAACCAGGCCGGGTGTTCAAAGGCTTACGAGGCAACGTTGCAAAGTGCGGCAGCGCGAACAGCTTGTGCAAACCCTTCATCGACTTTCCCGACTTCCACTATGGAACTCTTCTCTTTATTGCCTTGTCGTACAGTACCAACGGGCTCGATGGCATTGTGACCTGTCTCTGCGGAATAGGTCACAGAGTCAGGTCCAAACCCACCTAACCAGAAAGTGCGCACAGACATTTGGCCTACGGGGATAAATGAGTTTCGGAACACATTGTCGAAATGATCAACTTACCCAACGTGAGCGTCCCTGTTTTGTCGCTGCAAATATCGGTAACACCACCGAGATTCTCAAGGGCGTCGAGTTTGCGAACAATGACGTTCTCTGAAGCCATCTTTCTCGTTCCTACTGCCATAGTAAGCGTTAAGACGGCGACGAGCGACTCGGGAATGATAGCGATCGCAGTGGCAATAGCGTATAACACGACTTCGTTGTTGATGTCAAACTTTGCAGCGCCGAACACGATGATAACCAAGAGTATCGCACACCCAAATAAGGTAAACGCCAATCTGGAAAGCTTCATTTGGAGAGGCGTTCCGCCCCGAATGCCGCTGTAGAGAAAGTTGAGATGAGGGACACCGAAGAAACAAAGCCAAGAAACTTACAGGAAGTGTAAAATATTATCCCAAACCCGGGAGCCCAAAGGTGCAGTAGCATCTCGCTTGCCTGATGGGCTTTGGTTCATCGCCTCAGCAATGCGTCCAATCTAAGTACGATAATCAGTTATTGGGCCCTTCGAATTGACAATCGGTCATACCTGGGTATTCATACCAGTTCCAATAGTGATGCCAACACCACGCCCTTTCGTGACTACAGTAGACGAGTAGCATAAATTCAGCCGATCACCGATTGGCATGTCTAGCTGAGGATCATCGATGTCCTCGATATCCTTAGCAACTAAGTCGAGGGTTAGTATGAATTGCGGCTCAGTGTGCTTACACACCGACCTGGTACTGACTCTCCGGTCAGGAGCTGCTCAGATACTTCGAGATTAGAAATGCTTATTAGACGAAGCTGTAAACAACGATAATAAGTAAAAAAAAAAAGGTGGGCGCAAGAAACGGGGTACATACATCTGATGGCACCACATCTCCATCCTTGATCATCACCACATCCCCTGGAACAACAGTCTTGGCAGGAACATGCAAACTTTCACCATTCCGGATGACTAGTGCCGTAGGACTGGAAAGCTGGCGAAGTGACTCCATTGTCTTTTCCGCCCGGTACTCTTGGAAGAACCCGACCCTGATAATTTGTTCGTTCAGGCAGTCGTTGTAACGGAAGAAACACAAACATACGTCGTGTTTAATACTATTACGGCTGCTATAACAGCGCCTTCGATGAAATCTTGGACACCAAAACTTAGAGCAAGTGCGGCTAGAAGTACAAGCGTCAAGGCGTTGGCTAGCATAATGCAGATAAGAGAATGTTACGGGTTGATAAGAGATATAAATCGTACCAAGCTGGCCTACCAAGACGCGCCAAGCAGAAACGCCCGTCCGTCCCTTTAACAAATTCTCCCCGTATCTTTCGAGTCGTCTGTGGGCTTCGTTTTTAGAGAGCCCATCCGTTCGCGATGTCCCTATCTCAGACACCAATTCTTCAATCGTAAACGTATGCGCTGAAGAAGCCACATTGATAAAATTCGGATTGGTGGGAGGAACAGTGACAGAGTAGTTAGTGTTGGTGCGGCTGCTGAGTTTAAGTCTGTCGGAGCTGGCGTTGCTGAAAAAATTGGAGATACCCATGATGAATCGAAAGTGGGTCGTTTAACGAGAGGCCGGACATTTTAGGCGCCGTTTATATAGTGGAGAATCCCCACGATCAGTAGCCAAGACAGGAGCCTTTTGATCCCAAGAGAATAATGAACGAATCTGCCTTATGACTCATACCAATCCATACCAAGACATCCAGACTTTCCATTCAGTCCTAGGCACTCCAAGGCGGAAAGCGGGACCAAGATGATCAGTATCTCGTACAAGGGGAGACCTGTTCCTGTGATACAAGATTCCCAAATGTGGAGGCTCTAGTTGCGAGTTGCCAAGAATGAAGTAGACGACGCGCCGCGGACAGTTGCGATTGAAATTTGGGCGGTTGTTGACATTTAGTGCGGTACCAAGACATCAGCCTTCAAGCCAAGCACAGCCAAATGTCCCATTTAGGAGAATGCCAAGACATTGAACCCAGTCCTCTGGCATACTCCACTTTGGCCCCACATTCAGATTTTTCATGTGAATAATGTCTAGTAGAATTATTAGTCATACCGGCAAACAGTATCCATCAAGCAGATTATCAGGTAGGTTTTGATTTTTGTATTTATATTTGACGCAACGGTCAGGGTCAAGGATTACTTCAACCGTTATCGAGATCCCTACCAGCTTTCTACATCCTCTCATCTTCGCGAGGTGATCAGAAATGTATATTCTATCTAGTGACTATCTTCACCGGAGTTGGTTTTGCGACGCCTATCAATGGGTCCATCCCAGGAATTTTCTTATTTCGGTATTTCTTGTCCCTGGATAATCATGATGGGCATGTCCACAGCCTTTTCTTTCGATGAAACAACTGTGATTACTAGGCTGTAATGCTGTTTTATGCTGTTGTTGAATCGCAGATAAGCTGTGAAGGCTGTCCATACGTCTGATTTGGGATAATCAATGGTTCCGCAACCTAACTGGAGGGGTCGATAGAAGATCGTGGCATCACCGCTTATCTTTGGACACTGCCTATACCTATTGCTGCCTTAAAGTTCTTGTCCGTGGGTTCACAGTGACAGCACGTGCCAGTTAACGATTGCTCCGAAGAGGTAGACTGTATGTTTATGAATAATAATATTTCGTGGGATTTTGATGGTTCCTTGCGACGTGCCAGAATTCCTCCAGTCTAATATCTCGATATCGCTAGCACCCCGGAAGGCTCGCACATGACAGTAGGAACTCCTCTCTTCTCGATAAATGCTTCGCGATAGATATTTTATCTCCACCTTTTTGATCTCACGTTCTCACCCTTTTTTATCTCCAGCCAAGGCTCCTTGGCTTCTTGGATCATAGACGCTAAAGGCTCTACTCGAGTGCTTGCTTTATTGTCTCTCAGTACTGAACTGCGCTCAATACCCCACAATGAGGTGCTGTGATGGTACGCTAAGAACTTATTGTTGCTTGTATAGGCGACTGCGCATTCCAGGCAAAGCGACCTTCGCGACTAGAAACATTTAGTGAATCGCGATATAGCACAGCACCAGGACTGAAGTGAACTAATTCACCCTTCTGCAGATCATTAACCCATGAATGGCGTCTCCTTCTGAAAGTTCTCCGTTATTGCTTCCGTACCCTGAGATGCCCCTCCATCTGCCATCTCCGACTGTATCTGGGGTACAGGCATGAATCAACTTCTCACACGGCAGGCGGAGAAGAGGAACTCGCCCCAAGAGAGACATTCATACATGGATGGAACATGGATGTGCGTACCTTCTCCGTTTTCATTGATGAATCATAGATCTTTCATTTATATGGTGACGGCGGCCAATGACCTATTTTCCGGGTGATGTGCATCACCTACTAAGGATATACGGTATACGGACTTGGTACATACTCTCCAGTGGTTAGCTTTCTAGACCAGGTGGAAGCAGTAGGTTAATGACGACTCGTGAGACACCGAACTTGCCTTATTTTTTCCCGAGGCTTGGAAGCGGCCTTGCCGACAAGTGGTCATGGTGCATTGAATAGTTGCCTGACCACCCATTTTAGGATGTAACTCTTATATGTATGCGCTGTAAGGTGGTCGGATATGGTGTAACGGCTAACATTGCCGCCTCTCATCTATTGTTCCTGAATCGCGGCAGCTCGGGGTTCGATTCCCCGTATCCGAATAATACCCTTCCAGAGCGGCGTTTACTTTTTCGTCCTTCTTGTACCTAGGGCTGTGCACGAAACCTCCAGTGGGGGAGGGTTGAGTTACGGTTTCGTACCGACCCCTCCCCAAAGGGGGTGTTTGGATACGGTATTTACCGTTACTTGCCCTAAGACGTGCTCCATCATAGGACGGACGTGCGGCCATTACAGAATCGTTTCCGGAACTATTATATTCACGCTGTTTTACTCCCATGGATTGTAATCTGCTGCAAAACTGAAACAGCCTGCTTACCACTCCCTGTTTACGCACGGCCGGTCATACAGCCGATGCACTCAAAGTCTCGACCCTTGCCGTATTACGTTGAATTCTAGCATGAGTAACACTGGTGTGCAAAACGCAAAAACCTTTTCTTTGAAATCAAAGTGCATGAGCAGCTTACTAGTTAACAGTTATACTACACGAAAAGGAATATCAATGAAAGAAACCGATGGGTTATGGATGGAATAAGTATAATTAATAGTGTCATGAAAGGTTATCTTATCACGACCATATTCAACCACTTGTTCTCCACTGTCTCGACCAGCGTAACCCCTGATGAATCCGTGCTCGTTGACGGCGATGGTGACACAAAAGGGTGGTCTTCATATATCTCTCCCTCCTCCAAATCTGGCTCGCCATCACTCTCCAAGTCCATATCACACTCGCCCATCCCATCATCGATATCGTATTGGGTCCATGGTACGATCACCGGCAATGACCCGGGAACCGGAAGGTACGAAGAAGCAAGCGGAACCGAAACTTCCTCCTCCTTGATCGCCTTCACTACCTTCATCTCAGCGATGCGCACCTCCACCCTTTCTTCTTTCACCCGCGGCTCCATCACATCCTCAACCAGCGGCACCAAGACTGCAGCACTATTCTGCAGCTCAGTATCGAAGACCTGCAAGACGGGCTTTACACCATCTTCAGACGAAACTGACAAGCGCCTTCGCTTCGGAGTTGAGGCTGGATACTGAAGTTCGTCACTTGCCCGCGAGCTGCTGCTCTCGCGCGAATACGGGCTTCTCCCTTCCCTTAACGGCCGCTTGACGCTCCTTCTCAACTCATGCAATTCCTTCCGGATCTCTTCCTTTTCCTGACGCTCACGAACGAGAAGCTGGGCGCATGAGGAGCGGATGGTAGTAATGATGGAGCGGATCCAGGGGTTGGACATGAGGGAGATGGGGATACGTTGCGGCTGTCGTTGCTGCCGGACGGATGGCGGGAAGGACGGCAGAGCATGTGTACGTCTTGAAGGGGGTTGCGCGCGCGAGATAAGGGCGTGCTGACCCAAAAGATGAGGCGGCACCGGCTGGAGGTGCTGTTGCATATTGAATTGGGCCAAATTCTCAACGGTGAGTGGGCGGGGACCATGAAGAGACACTATAGACGGTGGAAGCCCCCTTTCCAAAATTTGGCGAGGTGGAAGTGACTGGCGTGAGGATGACGGCAAGGAAATTGGTAGAGGAGCATAAGGGTTAGGTAGGATGGTGATTGGACGGCGTACTTCGATTCGTGGCCGTTCCAGGTTATATGTCGGTCTCCGTGGAAGTAACGGCGGACGAAAGTCGCACATGTCTACATCCGCACTGAGACGACGCTGTGGTTGGATGCGACCGGCGGGATACTGTTGGGAAAGCTTAGCCTTCGAGGACTCGGCATATACATAGTCGAACGAGTCTATCTGGGGATTCAGGGCGTCGTCATAGAAGCGTACACATCCTGGAAGGACCTAGGAATGATAAGAAGAGATTTTACAGAAGAATAATCGAATCACAAACCTGTTCAGAGTATCTGACTGTCATTATTGGGTTCGAGACGCACGATGAGCAGGCGAGAGGCTTGCGTTCGTACTCGGTGAATTTCCGTAAGGCTTTCATCAGGGCACGCATGAGTATACTGTGAGGGTAGAGCAACGAATAAACACACACTAGTCTGTGTCGTATCAAGGGCAGCACTGCTATCCATAAACTAGGGGTCGAGTATTCTCTCCTCTACGCAGACCAGTCAGCGGACGGAAGCAGAAATCGAGTTCTACGGAAGCAAATTGCTTTAGCTTTAGTACCCTTGCTGAATTCGGTCGCAATGATTTCCTCCGGTCAACCGAACAATAAGACAATAAGCGCTAAGCTCCCATCAGATCCCCCGGTTCCCAAGACAAAAAGGCTGGCAGGTTCCCTGTACATTTGACGTTATAGCGAATGCAAGCAAACAATTAAAGGGCAAAAGTACGCACGGCGTTGACATTGTCGTTCGCGTAGGAAGGAATCTCGAATAGGAAGGTCGGGACCTGCCAAGCGTCCAACGGGTCTTCATTATTGTGAGAAAGATCGAGATGTACACATATAGAGTCCGAAGTATGCAGCTACTATCGTGCCTGTCAGACATGCGAACCAAATAATTGTTCAAGGATCCCAAATATGCACTCCCTGGCGCTGTATTTGTGCCGGGCGATAACTTGGAGACGGGACGGTGAGAGAAAAATGATAAGTACACCAAAGAGAAAATACAGTAATATTGCAATATTGTTGTCGTCGTCGCTCTTCCTCGCCGTGGTAGTCGAAGAGAAAGACCGTTACAATAAACAAGCACACACAACGCGGACACCGTTTTAGGAAATACCGGGATGTTGCCTTCTTTGGGCGCTTCGTCGGCTGTTGTCGGCACCGTCGATCGACACAAGATATGATCAAAGATGATCGTCAAAGCAGTGTCAAAGTGTGAGGGCTCCTTGTGATACGAACTTTTATTTTGGTAACGATCCATCTTCCGCTGTTTGGACAGCAACACTTTGTACGACGAACTCCCTGCGAATAGATTCATATGATCAACAAACAATCAAGCGTTTTGACGTCCTCATCCATTAGACTCCTACCCGTGGTCGCGGATTGGTCCGCCTTAAATAATTTTCCATCAACTTCTTCAAGATCTCTAATTTAATGTAACAGCATACCGTGTGAGGCCTTTTGAATAGCGCCAATAAATAAGGTCTTGATGAGGAACTGTAAACGATAATTATATTAACAGGAAGGGACTGCATTTACTGCTCTCCCCGTCATCGGTTGACTCTCTGCCCATTGTGCTTCGCTCCTCCTCGCCTCCTTGTTTCCCACTTTTTCCTTCTCATTCCGCAACTCGTGACCTATGCAGTCTGTCAGTTTTTTTTTTGAGTTAACTCTAAGAATAAGCATTGAATAGAGCTTGAGCAGATGATGATGGTCTGAGCTATTCAGTTGACTCTGCCAATGGAAAGCATCTGTTCGGTTCAAAAACAGACGTCAGAAGACATAAAAGAAAAACAACAATTATTGAGCAGGAGTTTGTTGCTTGGTCCGCCCAGCCTCTCTCGTCGCTGTCTCCTTGTGCACTCTCGAACTTTATCCGATAATGCATCGCCTCATTCGCTCAAGTTTAACCATGAGAATTTTTCGCCCTTTTCTAGCCCTCAATATTTCCCATAATTCAAGCCTCACATCCCCCCTCTCAAGCATTGCCGCGCAACGTTTCCTAGACTGGATCAATTCTGCGACCTTCTCGGAAAGCATAACCTTCTCATGTGCTTTGGGAGCCAACTTGGGGACAAGCAGCCTATTTTCCGCGCCGAGCCGCTGGGACACACGTCGCTTGAGGGATTAATTCCCGACGGGTTCATTTTCTTCGCGGTGCCGCCGCCGCTTAGACGGAGAGGAATATCCAGAAGACCTCAATAAGGGCGTTTGTGTGTCCCTTTGCTGAATAGTCTTTATCGAGATAGCTGAACGGATTCTCTTGGGAAGTGCGATAGATCGGACATGAGGCTGAAGGAATGTCAGATTACAAGAATGCCATTAACGTATAGTAAACGAACCGTACTTTTTCCGACCCCTGCTGTTTTACGATAAAACAAGTCAGAGCGAAGCGTGACGACTAGAGGGTGAATTTATATGATCGATAGTAGCTGCTACTCCCCAGATTCGTTTACTTAGCCCATAGAACTGTTTTAAGAAAGAATTACATTGCAATCGCGGAAGATCCGTCAAGGCGTCAAGATTACCAGTTCCTACTTGCTGGATTAATGTCCCCATCACCGGTGATCACCGCAAGTCATGAAACACGCGCGGTTGTGGGAGCGTGGAGACCATGAGGTGAGACGATATTTAAAGACATACCATACTGGGGTATGTGAAAGTGGAAATAGCGTGGAGTGTGATTTGCATGCGGACCTCGACAGACCGAAAAATGATCCATGGGATACAGAGGGAGCAGTGTTCAACGCCGGGATCACAGATATTGCTGCAAGAGGACCATTTTTCGATCGCGCGACCAAAAACGATGCAATCGAACGATCAGATTTCTTCCCGGGAGGACATAGAGTGGCTCAAAAAAGACGGAAACAGCAACAGCAACAGATATTTCAAACAATGGTTGAGCGCTAAAAGGCCTGGGAAGGACACAGAAGTCCTCCGTCATGGCAGTGTAATACTCCATACAGTATGTACTGATTTTAGGGCAGTGGCCGTTTTAAGCGCGCGATCGGCATCAGTAGCAAAGGGATCGTGGGAAATTATTAAATAAACCGGTATATAAGGGTCGAATTTTACTCCCAACTTCTTCCTACGCCCAATCGACGCCCTTTTCAGGTCTACGTGTTCGCGATTCTGTGGAGGAAATAATTTCTGCTTGCTTCTCTTCTATTTGTTCATGCAGCAGAGGCGGGATACTGGTCCGGGCTTGGGGATTCTTGATCTGAAAGGAAACAGTAGCAGTACTCCCGCGACACCACAAAGGACGAATTCACGGCCACTGGGGGATGAACCAGTACCATCTAATTCTACGGGAACAAGGCCACCTTCGCGCTCTGAAAATGACACCGCGAATCGGATAAATCAGCCCGGGGGATATCCTATTTCAACCGGACCACAGGTACAGCCGTATGGGGGAGCGTCGGGGCAGCCATATTATCCTGCAATTCGTTTCGTAGACCAGTCGGGGGGCCCA